CGAGGGGTGGGGTAATTGCAAGCGCTAAGCCGACGCCGCGTCTTCTCACTTCCCGGTCCTGGTGCACAGGAAGGCTCTACGGGGACCCTACCCGGCCGGCAGGGCCCCTGCAAAGGAGGTCGACGAGGAGCCGCGGCCCAAAGCGAGCCGACGGGCCAGCGCGCTATGGCCGCGGTGAGCTCGAGCCGGGCGACGTGCAGCTCCTGCATTAGCTTGCCCTCCACGCGGCGCTGCATGCCTCGGAAAATGTTAGCACACGGGGAGCCGTTTATCTCTTTTATCTTGGGGCCTGATCCAATTAAATAAGTGCACATTTACATTTGCATCCATCAGGCGGGAGCGCTGAGAGCCCGGGGTTTGCTCGGAGCAAATAAAAGCAGATTTCACCGGGAAAAGTGGCGTCCGGGCGCGCCGGGCTCGTCCGGGCACCGGAAACGAGCGCGGCGGGACGGGCGGCCTTGGGGACCCAGGGCTGGGGCCTGCGGCGGACAGAAGGCCAGAGACCTTCCAATGGCTAAGAGGGGCCGGCCAGCTCAGGGGTTGCAGCCAGAGCAGCATCCCCGCCCCTGAGGCGATCATCTGTTAGGCCACAACCTGGGCCCCGCCTTGTGCCCAGGACCCAAGTCGCAGTTAGCGCGAAAACGAAAAAAAGACCAGTTCTGGCCTGGTCACAAAGGGAGACCCGCGGAGTGGGCCTGGGGACAGCCCCGCAGCTTTGGCCAGTTTGAGGGGAGGGCAGGCGGCAAGGTCCCAGTCAGGCCGAATTTCCTCCTATTCAGTGGCCGAGTGGCCAGAAATGCGAAAAGCCAGGCCAAGGGCGCGCTCCCTCTCTCCCCCAATATCCCTGCACCAGGGGGAGACCAGTTGATACCACCCGTTAGCGCTTCTGGGGGGTGAAGGGGGACGCCCAGGTGAGGACCTGCTGCTTGGGCACGCCGACCTCACTAAAGGTGCTTTCGAAATAGGAGGGTTAGAAGAATTGGAGGGTAGTTTTGTTTATTTTTCCTTTTCCTATAGATGTCCAACGCACAGGCCAAAAGAAAGAAACGGTCTCTGGGGGCGCCGGGGCGCGGTCGAGCCCGGATATGCCACACCGCAAATTCAAACTGCGCGGGGTCCAGAGCCCTGGCGTGGCAAGGCCAGCGGAATCGGAGGTGCGTGCACCTGAAGCGGAGCGGGGGCACCGGCGCGCTGCGCGGGCTGCGCACGGCTGCGGCCCCCACCGGCAGGCTGTTTCTGTCGTCGGCATAGTTCTCAATTGCCTGCGCCTGGTTTTCTAGGCTGTGCCCAAGCCGTGGCGGGAATCCGTAGGGTTAAAACTGTTCTAGTCGCAGGCCCTGCTCTCTAGATTCCCAACACTAACTGGGTCCTGGTCCCAGGCCGCAGCGATGACGGCGCAGTTTAAGTTCGACCTGCTTGGGGTTCAGAGCTAAGGCCCGGCTGTGGGTGGGGGGCATAGCCGGTCTCGCCCAACTCCTGCTCTGTGTGAACCGCGTGGCGCCTGGGGACCAGTAGGCGGCGCCCTTCCTAAACTGACTCGCGTCCGGCTCCCTCTCGGGAGCGCAATCACATTCCTTTCTCTCTGGGCGCTTTGCAAAGCGCTATTCCGTGCCTCCGCCCGAGATGGCGGCTAGTTGTGGGGGACAGGTGGGCGGGGAGGCACGGCCCGTTCTGAAACTGCACACACGACTCTACCCCCGAACCTTCCAGGCTCCGAGAGCTGCGCACATCACGCGGAATGAGAGGCCCCGAGGGGCGTGCAAACCAGGAGGCCTCGATGCAGGCCCCGCACCCAGGCGGGGGAACAATATTTCGGGCCCTGGTACCTCGAGCCGAAGAGTGGGAAGCGGAAAGGCCCCCTTCCGCAGCCTCTCCTCAATGTCCGCGTATGCGCCCTCGGGAATTAACCGGGCTCCTCACCCCCAAATTTCATGAACTGATTCGGCCCCGCGCAGAGGGGTAAGGAAAGGGATCCAGCCCGTTCCCGGTTTAGCGCTGCCTCAGGGGGCTGACCCCATAGACCCCACTCAGTGATTCTGCCGTCCCCGTTGCCAGGGATTCAGCGCCTCCTAGTCCCTAAGTGCCAAACTAGGCGCTCCTTGAGGGCCGGAACCAGCGCAGCCAAGTGCAGGTGGCAAACGCCCGCACAGCCGCCAAACCGAGGTGTCTCAGGCGCTGCCGCCCGCGGAACTTCCGCGCCCCAGTCCAAGCCTGCGAAGAACCCCTACCACAACGCCTCTAGGACCCATCGTCTTCGAGATGGCCTAAGACGCGGCCAAGCGGAGGCTCGAGGCGGGATTTGGGGCTGTAAAGACACGCAACTACTTCTAAGATTAAAGGCGGGAGACATTTCCTGAATGCCCGAACCCGGATCTGCCCGGCAGGCCTCCCCCAAAGTGGAAAGGCTCTAGACACCAGAAAAGCCACTGGCCACTGAAACCCAGCTCTACAAAGGAGAAAGCCTCAAACTTAATTGGGGGCTTGTACTCAAGATGAAGTACGCAAAGAAAACCATAGACCCTGCAGGGGCCAAGGGTAGGAGGGATGCGAGCAGGGGGCAGCGACTCTGGCACCAGCCTTCCAGCCCCTGGCGGGTTCGATCCCTGGCCGGGAGGCTCCTTGCGCTGCCCCTCGTTGGGGAGAAAGGCCGCGGGCTCCCCGGGGCGCGTTCCCGTTCCCAGGCAGCCCCGCGGGCATTCAGCTCCCAGCCCCGAGCCTCGGCGATCAGACTTGGGAGGCCCGCGCCGCGCTATTTGCATATTCCGGGGAACACAAGGAGGCCTGTAATTTTCTTTTTAAAATCGTTGGGCAGGGTTTAGAGCCAGTGCTTCCAAAACCCCACAGAGTTGATGTCGTCCTTAAACTCTCTCTTAAGAGAAGCAGACTGGCCTATTCTTCTGACTTTTTTAGAAGAGAAGGTGACTCCCGGGGCTGCATATTCAACAGGGGGGAGAAAGCTGATTGTGAATCCGGCTGTCAGGGGGTGGATGGAGGGGGCTGGGGCGCGGGGGGTTGGGCGAGTCATCTCTGGAATTCAATTGTTTAAAAAAATCATTTATAATTAAAGGGACAAAATAAAATACGATCGTCTCATGAATATTTAATCATTCACACTTCCAGCTTTGAAATCATTTTCCCTGCGTGAATTTTCTCACTAATTTAAACTCTAAAGTCGACTGCTGTTCGCAAAAACATCTGGACAATGCAGCTTTCAAACTTGTCTAAATTCGAATAAGCTAAAGGAGCCCCGTTGCAGGGTTGAAAAAAACAAATAGCAAAAGTGCAAGTTTGCATGTGCAAGTTTGGATGTGTTTAAAAAACCAAGTAGGGTTAAAGTAATCTTGAGAAGAAATGCAAATATGTGCATTTTGATTTAGCCTAATTAAACTGGTGTTATGTGCAAACACACTCTCTCCACACTCACGCCCGGGTTTAATAGAGCAAATTAATTCCCCTCGCTGGAATATGTTTTTGCTGGAAACCCTCCCCTCCCCCGACCACCGAAAATTTCCCACGAAGTAAAACGCGTCCGCGGTTCCACGTCTCGAGCGCAAAATGGAGACGCGAGCGCCGACAGTGCTGGCGGGCCTCCGGCGCAGGGAGATGTCTCTTCCTCACGTGGGATTGAGACGCATCTCGACTTTTCATTTTGAGATGAAATATGCAGGATTAAAACGAGAACATAAAACCTCAAAAATACTTTTGTAGCTACTCGGACTCTTGAATCCGAGACGGGAAAAGTGCTAAAGCGACGACAAGCCTGATAGAGTCCACAACGGCCTCATTATCTAAGCAAACGTCCTCGAACTTCTGACGGCCACTTGTCCAAAAGGGGGCCCGGGGGGGGAGGGGCGTGGGGGGTTCTCCAGGTCGGTTCGGGGCTCCCTTTGCTCCCCCCAAGCGCCTAGGGCGCTCCCACCCCCACTTCCGCCCTCGCTCTCTCCAATCTCAGACTCTGCAAAGTGCAGCCTTGTAATTCAGGACAAGTGTGACACCTACCTGTGAAAGGGGGGAACCGTCCCCTTGCCGGTCCCGCAGCCCCAGACCCGCGGCTGTGCCGGGCTCTATGGGGCCGCCTACCACCCGCACCGTCGCGGATGGAGCATTTCCTAATTTAATCAAATCCCATGAGATCAACGTCCAATTTTGAAGGGGTAAAGACAGTGACTTGGGAAAGCCTTCTCCTTGGCATCCCCTAACGCATCCCGCTCGCATTAGCCCACAGCACCTTTGAAATAGTAATAAGGGCTAAATCCGGCATAAAATCGAACTCATTAGCAAAGTTCACCAGCTGATTGCTTTGCATAAAACACGACACTGATTGGAAGTAATTAGGTTAAGCGATGGAGCTCGGGTGGTGCGTGTCTCTAGCTGGCTTTGCCATCTTTTCTCCCTTCTGGGCACACACTTGGGTCTCTCTCCTCCTCCAGGGTCCAATCTCCCCCAAGCAGCCCGCATCAGTGATCCAAATCTGCATTCCGGGCAGGGCCAAGTTCCCCGGGGCTTGCAGCCTAATTATGGCCTCCCCCTGGCACACTGAGGTTCTATGGAACCTTTCATTCCCCACTTCGAAAAGAAGTTGCAGTTCGCACCTTTTGTCCAAGGCGATGGACAGTTTATTGAGGCTTCTAAAAAGTAATAAGTGGCTCTGATTATGTTAAAATCTCTTTTAATTAAATATTTTGCATTTTACAAAGGCGGCTGCAGTTTCTTTCATTTTTTAAATCTAAGAGTATAACCTGTTTCCTTTCTGTAATAATACTTTAGTTCATACCCAGAAAAATCAATAGGTGTAAAAAATTAAATTAAACTTGTATTTTTAAACTATGAAACAGTTTTGGGGGAAACACAAATGTATATATTTATATTACAAAAAAACATCAAATGCCTGTACAGGTGTCTTAATTTCATAATTTACTTCAAAGATATTGAATTATCAATTTAAATACAAAAATGCTACATTAAATATACAGAATAAGATTTAATACAAATTATTTTTTTAATTTTTCTTTTCGGTCCGTTAAGACATTTTTGTGTGTGTGGAGATGTTTACATTTTTATGTCATTCATCTCCATGAACTATAAACTTTTTAATAGGAGGGGTAGTTTTGTTTTTCTCTCTTGGTGATGGAAAAATAACTGCCAAGGCCATGTTTTTTAATAAATTAGGAAAGTCCTGGACCGACGCAGCCCGCGTTAAATGTCGGACATACCTTTCTTCAATTCATAGGGAGAGTCTTTGCACAGGTCTAGCTGGGACTGGCTCCGCAACATTTTCGGGTCTTTAGCCAAAGCGTCCGCTCGGTTCAACACGGTCTGGTTTAATCCATTGAAATGAGAGCCCGGACCGGCTGTGGGGCCTGGCCCAGGCCCCGGGTGGCCGTGAAGGTGTCCGAAGGAGCCATAGTTCGTGTAGCCGGGATAGAAGGGCGCCGTGTAGTAGAGAGGCCGGGACAGCACGGTCCCGCCTGGAAAGGGACACTGCGCCGAGGGCGAGCGCGGTGGCGCCGGGGCGGGCGACGAGCGGCTGCCTCCTAGGGCTTGCCCGGCTACGGACCCCGGGCACGGCGGGCACGGCGAGCCCTCGCTCCCGCCGCCCCCGTCCTTGACCTTGTCCGAGGATGTGGCGATCTCTGCCAGAGACCACAGTTTGGGCTTGGCAAGCACCGCCTGCGGCGGCGGCGGCGGCGGCGAGTGTATGACCGAGGGCCCGCCGGGACCGGGGGGCAGCTCGCCCGCGGCTGGGTGCGGGCCCGGAGCCGGAGCG